CGCTGATGAAAATTAGAGACCCTGCAATCAAAGACCGGCCAGAAGAGAGTTCGTCAAATTTCTGCGATTCTACGTTCGTAGAAAAGTGAGATAGCCAATGTTTCTCTCTCACTCGCAGGAATTTGACGAACTCTCTTATGGCCAGTCGTTAGTAGGCATTGCCTTATGTTATCTTATTTATCTATATTTTTATCTTGTGCGTTTTACTTTATTTTATTTTATCTCATTTTATCCTTGTAGGCCCCAGCAAGGCCTAATGCCCAGACAAATGCCCAAAAGTGTCTAGCAATGCCTAGAAATGTCCAGTGATGCCGCAAATCTGTACGCCACGATGCCCTCAGCTGTTTACCCCTCGGGAATAACTCTCAAAATATTGGCTAGTCTCAAACCAAATTATTCCCAAGTATAATAGGACAAACATAGTTACGAATCCAATGGCAATACTAAAATATAATACAATAGTAACAATAAAATAAAGTAAGGGCGATATACTTATTAAGACACGGAGGATTGTTAAAAAAGTGAAGCATCTAAAGATGCAACACACATACCCTAGTAAGCACCAGCGGTTACGTAGCATCAATATATCCTACTCAATAATTAACAACATATATTATATTAGATTTATATTGTCGAGTGGAAAATTGGCGGAAATATTGATGTTATGTAATTGATAGTTGGTGTTAACTGGGTACATAAAATGTATATATGTATAAATAGCGCAAGCCTAGCAAACGTGGGCGCTTATAACGCAAAGTATATCGCGCGAATACGCGAAAGTCGCGGATGAACCTTGAATGATAGCGGCGCAACTTTTATACGAGTACGAACGAGAACTTTTGTAATACCACACAAGTGAGCAGCGGCGGCATCAGCTGGCAGCATTGAAATGTTTGACTTGAGAAATACAGTCGCCCGGAATCGAATAAACGCGCGGATTGTGCGAGGCCAAAAGACCCTCGACAGACCGGGGGGGGGGGGGGGAGGAGTCCACTAATCGAGACCAGATTTTTGACGCAAAGTTTCACCGGGATGACTCGAAACAATTTCATTTCCACCTCGGAATGGACTCTGTCACTGGTGCTGCCATCTAGCGGCGGCGCGATGTAACTAAAGTGCGACGAAGCCTATGGCCGGTCGGTAAGAATCAATTTCGAAATCCCGGACAGCCAAAGTATTTCTATTTGGATTCAAGATCGATTCTTCGAGCTGTATAAGTAGCAAGTTGACACCATTCGTCGTCATTTCGAATCAAAATGACAATATAAATAACGTCAGCTGGCTACTTGCACGGCGCGTTACGAAGGCTGCTTTCCTTTTAGGAGGCCCGTTTTCTGAAATAAATAATAAAATAAATAATAAAAATGTAAAAACGCGACTGTCACCGCGTGGAATGATCCTGCGTACGGCGCCGTAAACACCTCGGCCGAAAACCGAGCGCGGACTCCATGAAATGACGTAGCGCCGTGAACACCTCGGTCGAAAACAATCTATATTGTGTCGAATCATTCGGGCGCGGATCAGTCGAGCGAAACGGATGTTCCGCGTGTCTTCGCGTCGCTCCTCGTAACGCGATTGTCTCGCTCGAGAGCTATTAACATTTACCAATCGCGTTGAATTAATTGTCGCAATCCGTAATCTTATCGCTCATTTCTGCGGTGATTTGTCGAGAAGAATATCACGCGTAATTTGAAGTAGAAATGCCATAAGGGAATTACATACATATATATTATTAATTAGGTTCGATATATCCACGAGCGCTAATACCTTTTTTAACGAACGAACTCGGATGAATCTCTCCCACGTCGTGCAATGAATAGCAAACCTAGTTTATATTCACTCAATATTCATTTTTCTAAATACACATATGTAATTGCACGGTTTTTTTGTCTATAATCCCCTCCTCGGGTACTACCTTGTCGTGGTGGAGGGGCTTAAGTACCCCGAAGAGTTAATCTCTAAAAATCAATCAGTGCATTATCACTGAATCAGTGAATATTCACTGTTTTCAGTGATAATCCATCGATTGATTTTAGAGAGTGCATACTCTAAAGACGGGACAACCAAAGGTACCCATTGCACTATTTGGGCCCGATTTTTCAGTTTCTAATAAACTGTTGACCATAGTTTAATCGATTATCTGTCTCTTCTTAGATAACAATATATATAGAAAAGCATAGAGAGTCGAGTAACTGCCATATTAACAGTTAACCAGAAAATGATAAACCAGGCCTAACACTCTCTGAAAGTTAATCGGTGGATTATTACTGAAAGTAACGAATCAATTCACTGTTTTCAGTGATAATCCACCGATTGACTTTTAGAGAGCACATTTATTAATTGATTCTGTTCATTTCAGCACGAACTTTCGAGGACCGACGAATAATTTCGCTATTATTTCGCCAGTTTAAACGAATCGCAACCGCGCGCGGCGATTCGTCGTGTCGCGTCGCGTTCGGGAGTGCCGTTTGTGTAATTGGACTAAGGACTTTCAAAGTGTAAAATCGCGCGAACGATCTTTGTGTTTTCGCGAGTGTTCAAGAAGAACGTAATAAGAACGTAAAAAGCATTTCGTGTTATTGCACGTATACCGAATATTTCATATACATACATATGTATAACATCGAGAGAAATATTGTAGGTATTGTACAGATATTTTATTTTTAAATGTATAATGTCATTATTTCTTTTATAATATTGTAAGTGTGTTGTAAAGTAAGTTATAAGAAAAATGAAACGAATAATAAAAATGTAAGAAATCAAATTGTAAAGAAAAGAGGACCGCGGCGATTAAACGCGGCGGGGGTGGTGGAGGGCCTCTGTATAGGTCGATTTGTTTCTATCGAATAAAATTTTAGTTCAGTTTGATTCACATAGTCTTTTAATCGATAGTTTCGTTTGCAATTGATTGATAAATTTGCCTTTACAGTTTGATTTTTCGTTTGCACATTAATAATATACTATTATGTCATAATGAAAAATTGTACATATTTTTATTGTATATCATGTTTTTAGTTTCATTATGTATTATAACTTAATCTCTCTTTCTATATTTTTGTATGTATTTCAAAATAAGTTCCGAATAAAATTAATTAAATTATGAAAATGTAAATTTTTATAACTTTATTAATTTTATTCACAACTTATTTTACCGCCAACAAAAGAGGACCGCCGATAAGAATTCGGCGGGGATGGTGTCGAGGACCGGAATTAAGTTGGCGCTGGAAGTTCATATTTTCGTATAAAACCTAGCTCAAACGATTGCTCCCGAATTGCTCCATTAGAATCCACAATTGCTCCACTTTTAAAATCAATAGTTTTCG